TTTTTAAATTACTACAAAATAACAGAACTAAAATCGTTATTCTTGGTTTTAAAATTTTAATACGTAATTTTGTCAAAATTTTAACTTAAAATGCCTGTAAAAATAACTGTGATTATTTCTTTTCAAGATTTTTAGATGGGTACACTATGGATCATTAAGCTTCGATACCTTTATTTTGATTATTACACATTCTGTTGTTTGTTGGTAGAGATTTCCTTTATTGATTATTTTAATTTTGAAGTGAGCTATAAAAGTGAAAAATAATACAATTTAAAGACACTCTTAAGTCATTTTAAAATTAAAATATAAAAAAAAAATACTCAAGACTAAAAACCAGTCAAACCATACACTTTCTTATAGGAAACGCATTTGTTTTCTCAGCACAATATCATATAGCACACGTTATATATACCATAATATCGTACTTCAGAATAATTMATTTTAGGTACTCTGCAGCAGTTGAACACACTATTTTTTACTGAGCTCATTGGAAACCAACGCGTCTAGCAGTGAACAAGTTCGCAGGTAGCCGAAACATTACTCCAAGTGATGTACACTGCGTACAGGACATGATGCTGTGTGGTCCCACTGACGTCTCGATTTGCATGAGCGAGCGAATAATTGCTGCCTCTCAACGCGCCACGCGTTATTTATGAAATAGTCGAAGACATTCTTAGCTGCAAACTGCAAAGAGCAAGATGAGAGGCTAGCTGAAGCCAAAGCAAGAGCTGCTCTAAACGTCTGAGCTCCTTCCGTCAAAACGGCAGAACGGGATGCCAGGCMGGCGGGTGCGTGCGACACACCGGGCCGAGAATAGGGTCGATAAACGGGATCGTCATCATTTATCTATGTGACCATTTATGTTGTAGCATTAGGTTTTGTAATATGTATATTCGATATTAAGTATTGTGATCAGGCGCGTACACAAAAAAATATTTTGGGGGGGGTTTTGGTTGTACATTTTTTTAATTATATATCACAATTTGTGATTAAATGTTTTAACGTTTTTCAT